GGTCGACCACCGTGCGAGGCTCCAGTCGCAGCGTACCAGCTTGGGACTCGGCGCCGAGCTTGGTGCAAATCTCATCGATCGCATCCTGGAGCACGCATGATGAGAATGCATGGCGAGATGAGAGGAGAAGGACGAACACGCTCGAGCTTGTGCTTGTCTTCGTCGGAGACGCCTGCGCAAGAATCAGCAGCCGCAGCAGTTAGAGGCGAACGTACCGTCGTGGGGCGTAATGTCGCCAACGAACGCTTCCGCCAAGTCGTGTACGATGGCCATCTTGATGCACCTACATGCGCGTTAGATCGTCTACTTCGTGCTGGAGTGCATACTTCATGCGGTCGACGGACGAGTCGTTGTCGAGGAGAAGGCTGCACATGGCCAGGCGGTACATGTGGTCCGAGACCGACTCGGGCGCATGGACCTGGTGGTTGACCCAGCCCGTACGCTTGAGGCGCTACCCAGCCATGAGCCATCGCCACGTACATGTCGTCTACCTTTAGCTGGCCGCAGACGCGGAGGAAGTCGAGCGCGCTCGAAGCCGAGATCCCGCGGGTCGTCATGAAGATGAATGGCAGGTCGAAAATCCTCATCCGGATGATATCTTTATCCGGCATGGCCTTTGGCGTCGGAAGATCCATCCTTGACGCCGATGGTCGCGGTCCAGATCAGCAAGACAATGGCTTCTTCGAGTACAAGGAGGTCGACATCGACGTCATGAGCGGGCTCCGCTGTATTGGCGACATGAAGCTCCTCATGGCCAACGCCATCTACGCGGAAGAGGACCTCTTCACGCTCGAGGGTCCCCACGAAGTGAAACTCTACCACATGCCGGGCGCCGACGACGTCGACAACCTCGCCGACACGGACATGGTCACGATCCTCGACTGGGTCAATGGCGGCGACGCACCATCGCAGTGGGTCCTCGATATCTTTGGGCGACCGCTCGTCACGTCCGTCTCGACCGACCTCGTCCTCGATGACATTGACAAGTTCGATCTCCAAGATGCAGCCGGATGCTAAGAACGCCTCCTTGTAGCCTGCGCATTTCGTACATGAGCGCATCGTCGCCGCTGCGGCCATCGTCGCCTGGCGCGGCGTCCGGCTATGAGCCCTTTCTGCATGTCGGGACATGGTATAACGCGACGGCGCTTGCATCTGCTAACAACGTACGATGGCGTAGGGTACCCATGCTGAGCGGCGCGCGGACCGTGCGCCGGGACAGCGGCCCCGGGTCGTCCAACTTGATGGGTCTCGTGGGTCGTCCGACGCCGCAGCTGCAGAGCGAGTACGAAGACATTGTACAGACAATGCACCGCGCTCAGGAAACGTTGCGCAAGTTTCAAAGTATCGGGAAACCTGTCTCGACGCAGAGCCTCCAGACCATCCTCTTGCCGCTGGCGATGGTATTACGTACTTGGTGTCTGCGGCGCGATCCCCTTATCGCTGCATCGGTATGTAGGCCAGTCCGAGCGCCATTGCGCGCTTCGGCCCGAGCGTGCTGCACCAAGGCGTGTACACGCTCATCGAGAGCGACCTCCAAAAAGGCTTTGTGCAAGCCGTCCGCATCTGGTTTCGCTTCGACAACGAGCGCACGCTCAAGGTAATATATGAAGAGGTCGAACATGGTGCGATGAGATCCATGGCGATGCGTAGGTTACCAAGCGCAACGGGAGCTTGGGCTTGAAGCCTGTCCGGCAGCAAGACGGCTGGATCGTCGTGCAAGCCGTGCCCGGCTCGGCGTGTGCACTGGCAGGCATGCCGCCCCAAGAAGTGTTTTTAACGCACGTCAATGGCGTCGACGTCTCGCCGCCGACGTGCCCTGCGATCTCGGACAAGACGATGCGGCCGCAAAACTTGGGCCATAGCGTGAGCTGGGCAGGCAACGTTGTGCCCCTCGTCGAGGAGGCCGACGTGTGCGAGCTCACCTACTTTTAGCGTTCAGCGTACATTCCAGGGTGCGAATCCAATGCGCGTGTATGCGTCGGTCCTACGTACATCTAGGATTGCGGCGACTTGGGTGCAAGTTTGCATGGAAGCTGCATGTAGAAGCTGGAGCATATCCCACCCTCTGTCGTCGATGGAGATGGAACGCAGGTGGAGGATCACTGAACTACTACGTTGTCATTGACTGACGATGAACACCATCTCTATTAGTCGGTGCCCATGGACTCGCGGATCTGGCCCGTGACCGTGTCCATGCTAATATTTGCGTCGACTTCGACGAGCTTGCCCTGCTTGGCATAGTAGTCGATGACGGGCTGCGTCTGCTTGTGGAACGCATCCAAGCGCGTGCTCAACGTGTCGACGTTGTCGTCCTTGCGCTGAATGAGCGGCTCGCCCGTGACATCATCGATGCCCTCGACCTGCGGCGGGTTGAACTTGACGTGGTAGCTGCGGCCGCTGCTGACGTGGATGCGGCGGCCCGCAATGCGCTCGACAAGCACCTGGTCAGGGATGTTGAAGTTGACGACCTTGTCGACCTGCGTCTTGGTCTCGGCGAGCATCTCGTCGAGCTTCTCAGCCTGCACAACCGTGCGCGGGAAGCCATCGAGGATGAAGCCGCGGCGGCACTCGGGGCTCTTGATCGCGTCCTTGATGATGCCAATGACGATCTCGTCCGTGACGAGCGCGCCCGATTCCATGGCGGCCTTGGCCTTCTTGCCCATGTCGGTGCCATCACGCACGGCGGCGCGGAGCATGTCACCCGTGGCCAAGTGGCACAAGCAGTACTCGTCCTTGATGATCGGCGACTGCGTGCCCTTGCCGCAACCCGGCGGGCCGATGAAGATCGTGCGGCGCTCCTTCTTGGAGGCGCACTCCATGCGCTTCTCGATCTCGGCGAGGAGCGACTTGGTCGGGACGGCAGCGAGGGACGCGAGCGAAGCAGCCATCGTGAAGCAAATTGATGTTTGGCCGAGGTGCGCCATCTATTTTGAAGCGTATACTGAGCCCCAATGTGCACATCTCGCAAGGCCATTGGTCAATATCTTCGACGTCAGTTCGCTTTTTAACCAATCGCATGCCATGGCGGACCTTCCGTGGCGCGCCAGCCTCAACGTTTTAATGCACTTGTTTGAAGCGTTGTATACGTGTACAAAAAAGACGGCGCCACAGCATGTGCGTACGCAATCGCGCCCGTCGCCTGCGTTGCAGCCTCTGATTCGACGAAATCAAGGCATTTGCGCCAATCAGCGATCAGGGATTGTCAAAGAAATCCTGGATCCAGGATATCCATGCGAGGATCGGATCCCATCCATTGTCGAGTCGACGGACGACGAACGACAAGCGGCGCGGACCAGGTGCCAGCCGCGACGCACAACTGGAGTCGACCGTCGTCAATTCATTTCCGAGCACTTTCCATCGACGACGAAGAGGGCGGTTGAAGCAGCATGGCGAGCGCTATATATAGCGCCGTTGAAGCAAGTCAATGACACAGTGCGACGATGACCTTCAAGAACATCAGTGCGCGGACCCGGGACGAGCGCAAGGCCGTGCGGGACAAGGAAACATTGGAGAAGGACCGGCTCAAGGCACGCAAGGAAGGCTTCATCCGCGTCGACACGTCCATCTCGGGCAGCGCCATGACCGTCCAGGCGCCGGGGTCGCAAGGGTTCATGTCGGACGCCGACCGCTTTCATACAGACGTCGCGGGCGAAGAAAAGGTCCTGCGCGAGTCGCGCCACGCCAAGCACCAGCTCGTCTATGACCACAAGCGCAGAGACAACCAGCTTCGCGAAGACCAGCGCTGGAAGACGATGGACGCCAAGGCGGCGGAAGAGAAGCAGCGGTGGGATCGGCTCCGCGACGACGGCGGCAAGGCGCGCCGCAACAAGGCATCGTGCGACTACAACCTCGTGACGCTCAAGTACAACGACGGCAAGGACGGCGAGCGCCTCATGAAGGCGGACAATGAGATCCGCCACCGCGCGACCGTGCGCGCCGCGAACCTGCAGTTTCAGAACTCCCGCGCCGGCATCAACCCGATTACAGGCGACCCGATTGCCCGCATATCGCTCTCGTAGTTGAATAAGTATCCTCTCGACTAGACGACTAACTATACTAATGCAAGCACGCTTGAAGGAGCTACGACTGGATCAAAAGATTTCGCGCCACGACTGCGACCCTTCAACACGGAAATGTCCGGATACCAAAGGACACCATACTAGAAGTGAGCTTAATTTCCTATTTGTATTTTGTATGGTATACATTTATGCTCAGTCGAGGCATCGAAGTGGTATACTGAGCCCAAGTCAAGTTTGCGTATCCGGACCTTCGACAGATTCCACGCAGCTGGCCAAACAAAACCAACCGAGCAAAGCTTGACGACGATGGCCGACACCGCGAAGGGTACGCGATCCCGCGACCGCGCCTGGCGGAAAGCCTCCATGGACATGCAGGCTCATGCTACCTAACCATCTATAGACGTGCTCACGGAAGAGGAAGTCTTGGCCGAGGCCAAGGTACTGCAACAATGCTGCGCGATGAACGTGCGGCTCATGCAAGTGGATCTCATCTAGGCCGAGGTTGCCAAGGCCCAGGAGAACGATGAAGCGGCTGAGGCTAAGACCGCTGAGAAGGTTGCGGACCAGCCCCCCGCGGCCAAGTTGGACGTGCAGGCGTTGCCGATCCGCGCGTATTTGGACCAAACCGTGGTGCCCATCTTGCTGCAGGGCATGTCGTCGCTCGTGAAGGAGCGACCTCCGAACCCGATTGAATGGCTCGCTGCCTATTTAATTAAGAACAACCCCCAAGGACCGAGTAGCAATAGCAAGTAGTCGTACCAAGCCTTCAACACGATGACGGTCTCCACAAATGTGATATTATCGTTCGCTAGTGTTGCTATTGGGCATGCTGGCCCCGACCGCCTCTGTGCGCGCCACGGCCACCACGACCTCCGTCGCGACCGCCCCCTCGGCCACCGTCACGACCGCCGGTTCGGCCACCGCGACCGCCATCACGGCCACCGCGACCACGGCCTTCACCACGGCTGCCCATGCCGCCACGACCGCCACGACCGCGACCACGGAGCGCATTGCGGTCTACGAGGAAGCGCGATATGAGTTTCTTTGCACGCACGAAAGAGGTCGTACCGCGCTTCGAGAGGTCTTCTTCGTTGACTTGGTCCAGGACCTACACAGCACGCCATGAGCACGGCGAGGCCTCGCGGAGACTCAGTCAAGTACCTTGTCGGGGATACCAATGTATTTGATCGTGTTGCCGCGGATGTAGCACTCAGTGAGCTTCCAGAAGCGGTCACCATCCTAGACCCAAGCAGCGCATGACGATCGGGCATGGGCACTCCTTGTGGCTGCGTACCTTGGAGGTGCAAATGATGTTCTTGAGGTTGACGTTCATCCACGTATCGCAGTTGACAAGCACACCGTTGTACGTGTCGCCATTCTTGAGCTCGACGAGCTAATGAGGACGACGTCGCATGAGTCGTGGGTCGCCTCGAAGTCCATGCGTACCATCTCTTCGCCTTGGGCGGCTTGAAGCAGGGAAAGAGGAAGCTACATGCATGTCATCGTCTTTAGGATGTCGTCCTCATGGGCGGCCCAGGGCTCGCGGAAGCATCTTCGTACCATGATCGTCCCGCTGCGGCCGCGCTTCGTTCCAGAATGGGGGAAAACTTGGTTGCCTGCACCGCATGAGTTTTGACCAATCATCAGTCATTGGTAAAATATTTTTAACCAATGGCATCAATTCGTTTTTGCACCCCATGTCCAGAGCTCTCTCGCTGTACCGGCGCCTCCTGCGGACGGCGCGGACATGTACGTGCTTGGCCAGAAAAGCCCACGGGAAATGCTGATGATCTTGATGGATAGGGGAAGGAGGCGAGGTCGAGCGCTACTACATTCGCTCGCAAGCGCGGTACGCCAGGTCGTTCGATGATGGCTGTTGCCCTCATGATCAACCATCCATGGCCTAGGCTCGAGTTTGAAGCCAAGCGCAGTCTGCGCACGACGATCGAGATCGACAATGCCATCAACGAAGGCGAACAACGCCTTGAAGTCGGTCTCCACTACAAGAACCCGTACCCACGTCCGCACTACTCGGATCCAGGGACGCTTGGCGGCGAAGCCGATCTCAAGCGCCAAACCAAGCGCGTGGACCCTAAAGCCAGTCACCGCGCCAAGGTCAGCAAAGGAAAGGCGTTCAAGTGGTAACATCAATATGCAAACGCTGGCACCTTGGCTCGCCACGTCCCCGATCCCTTCGGTCATCGAAAGAGTGTGTCCCTGCCCATTGTATGTACCGGGCCTGCCACAGTCTCCCCAGCGCTCTTGGCAGGGAAGTTGCAGTTCGGAAAGAAGGGCTGTGTGGGCGTACGACACCATATAGCCTTAGAGGTATAACTTGGGGCGCCGGGAGCTAAACGAACTTCGTAAATGCAAACCCGAGCGGGTCGTCATTCTGCTGTAGGCGAGGCGCAATCAATACCAGCTCCGTCCTATTGCATGAGTGGGGCCATAGTATCGTGATCAAGACGACGCGCTTGACAACCGTGGCCCAATTCAACAGGGGGTACCGAAACCTGTATCAATGCATATTGCAGTGTAATGGGCCTTGGTGTATCGATTGTGAGAGGTGTAGCGAAAGTCGACCAGACTTTGAACCCAGCGGTAGACACGAAGCGGCGATGTTCGGGAAGCTCTTGGTCGTGCTCGGCAGCATCCTCCTCGTCCATGCGGGCTACTACACCGTCCAATGTACATGTCATCTTCCTCATCTACCTACGCTCACATGTGCAAATGCAGACGAGTCCTACGTCAAGCTCGCCGAAGTGACGGACGCGGCGATTCCCCCGTTCGCGGTACGTCTACGACAATGCATGATGCCACACTCATGCTCCTCCTGCGTCTGTAGGCCAAAGTCGAGTTGGCCGTCTCCTTTGCGCTCTTCCTCGCCGGCGTGCTCGCGATGGCCGGCGATTTTGTCCCGATTCGGTCGACCGAGTTCTACAACAACAAGTACGTGGCCGCCATGCACATGCAATGCATGATCCATCATGTCTAGGTCCTTTGACTGGGTCGTCTCGAACCCCGAGTTTGTGACCTTCAACCACCGCGGCAAGCGCTTACCGAAGAAGACCGCGTAAATGTCCATGGTCGCTCCATCGATTCTAGACTCTTCTTTCGTTCATACAATACCCGTCCCTGCATGCCCATCTTCTCATGGCGGAAGGGAATCCATGCATGCATGAAGCATGGCGCGGCGTCGCCGCCTAGCTCGCGAGAGGATGCAGCTACCAAGTGCTTGACCGCCTGCTTGGAGCTTTCACTGCGTATAGCAACGTACAGTACGCTCCGTTATTGGTGAGCCTCGAGATATGGGCTATCGAGACGAAATCCAACGTGGATCGCTGTCTCAACGGCGCCTGCAAGTCAACGCCAGGCGTTCACCGTGGCCGAAAATAGCGCGTATCTTCTTTCCCAACTCGATTTCATTCTGCAATCGCCCGCGTTCTCCACACTCAAGATGCAGCTGCTGTCGGTGCTTTTGAGCCTCACTGCCATGGCATCGGTCGCCAACGCACGGGGTCTGCGCCAGGACACGGCCGCCGAGTGTGTCTCGCGCTGCCAGCGCGCCGCGTCCACGGAGCGCGAGGAGTTTTGCGCCTCGTACCGCAACCAAGTCCCGCGCCCGACGCTCTTCAACCGCTGTGTTGACGCCTACGCCAACGGTACGTTCATAGTATACTAGAAGCGAAAGTCTGAGGCTGGTATAGCGATTACTGTCGGCTGCGACCTCTGCTACGATCCGTCCAAGTACCTTAGTTTGCGCAGCAACGCATTCCACTACTGCGACAAGTGGGGCCGCGGCCACCCCCATTCGTACAAGGCGGCGTGCGAGGCGTCGTACCTGCACGCAGTCAACTCGATCGAAGAGTACCTCAATGCAAACGACCTCCTCTCGCTCGAGTCGCTGCAAATCATGCCCACCGAGCGCCAGCTGGACGCCGACGTCGAGTCGGCCGAGTCGATCGTCGAGCGCCATGTTGGTCATGGTGCAAAATGGGCTCGATCTGATGGTGTTTTTCATAGCTCCGGGAAGCGCGTGCCCAAGCCCAGGAGGAAGCTGCTCGCCAAGATCGGTTCGACCGCCACTTGTGAGCTTGGCGACGGTCAACTCAGAAAGAGAGGGATCAGAAATCGTAGGATAATAGGAATAAAATCTATATTTTGTACTCAAGGCGTTCGGACTTTGCGCCTCTAGTCCATGTCTTCGTCATCGTCGTCATCATCCTCATCATCCTCATCGTCGTCGTCGTCGCTGCCGTCAATTTCAAGACCCTCATACTCTTCCTCATCTTCATCGACGCTCATCTCGGCGTCATCGTCCGCGCCGTCATCCGCCGCCGACTTCTCGATGTGCACCGGCATCGGCTTGACGATTTCGTCCGTGAAGAGGACAGCGTTAAGGCGCTGCTTGGCGTAGTACGTATGGATGTTCTTGCGCGTTTCGGTATGGTACACGTGGACCATGCGGTCGAGGCCGACAGCGGCCATGTACGGCAGCGTCGGGTGCAGCGCAATGTCACGGATCGCGCCGACGGGCCCGTGGTACCGGCCGAGGTGCTTCATGTTCCGGAGATCCAGCGCATTGATGTTGCCGGCCGTGTCACCGAAAATGACGCGGTTGTCCTGCACCGCGAGCGACGTGATCGGGAGCTCGCCAAACACGGTTTCTTGGACCGGGCGGCGCTTCGTCGCCGTGTCGTAGAGGCGAATCTGGTGGTGGCCCGTGCCCACAACAAGGCGGTGGCCCTCGCTCGGCGGCAGGAATGCCATGCACTTGACCCACACGGGCACACGCATGTCGAGGTCGTCGTGCGTCACGTTCTTGGCCTTGAAGATGGCAGCCTGCGTCTCGAGGTCCCAGAGGTTCACATCACGTTCCTTGCCACCAATCGCGATCGTCTTGGAGCTCAGCGGGTCGACACGCAGGGTATGGATGTCGTGGCCGACGCTGAAGGACGCGGGGTTGGGCTTGATGTTGAGCGGGTGCACGATCTCGACGCGACCCTCGACGTTGCAGCGCACAATCGAGCCGAACTCACGGAGCACGCCCATGCCGACAGGCGCGCCTTCAGACTTGAAGCTCCACGGCGCGTCGGCGCCGTCGGCCGCGACGCAGTCCACGTGGCCGTTGGCACGACCGATGACGACGTCGTTGTCGGCCGTCCACGCGAGGTACTTGGCCGACGTCGCGCGGCTCTGCGTCGTCGAGCCGAGCACCTGCGCCGTGTTGGCCTCGAGGCCCACGCTCTTCACCAAGCCCGTCTCGTCGCCGATGATCACGCGCATTTTGCTGGTGCCAATTCCAAATCTCCGAGCGTGGATCCCCAAACACGAAAAACCACTGGTTATGAACTTGGGTTGTTTTGGCCAATCACGGCCAATCACAGTGCGTTATCAGGTAATAGCGCGTGTGATTGGTCAAAAGTCCCAGACCTGCTCCCGCAGTTACCTTGATGCTACGGTATCTCACAATGCTATCTGTCAAGACTTCCCGCCATCACCACGCACTGGCAAATGCCATGAAGAAGGCTCGATCCTGCTTGCAAGCGCATGGACAATGCGTTAGACCATGCACCATGGAACCGACAGGTCTGCGATCACCTCGAGCTACAATGAGCGGCTCATTGGCGTGGCCCTGGAAGACGATGCGCCAAGAAGCGATATAAACTAAGCCACTTGCATGGTCGACATTACATGGCCATGGAAGCCTCGAGACGCCGAAGCTCCTCAAGCTCGTCGGCGTCGGCCTTGCCGCTCACCTTGATGTTCGTGACGGGGTGGGTCGGGGCGTCGGGGAATGCAAACATGGAGGGCGCGGGAACAGCAGGCGCCGCAACCGGTGTCGGGCGCGCGGGCTGCGCGACTTGGGTAGGCGTCGGGCGGCTCGAGTCGAGCTGTTTCTCGAGCTCTTCGTCCATCATGCTCTCGAGTTCTGCGGCGAGCTCGTCGTCGTCGTAGAGGGCGTTGCCAAGCGGCTGCGAGATCGCGCGGCCAATTTCGTCGGCCGTTGCCATTTCTTCTTGGATATCGTCCATAATGTCGTCGACCGAGTCGACGTTCATTTGGCCGTGGATGGCCTTCATCTGGTTCGCGCCCGTGCGCAGCGCCGTGAAGGTCTGCATGTTGACCTGCGTCGACTCGAGCGTGATGACCTGCGTCTCGAGGGTCATGCGCGCGCCTTGGAGCTTCTCGATTTCAGACTCGTACATCTTCTTGCGCTTGAGGCAGAAGATAGCACCGCGCTTGTCCTTGGCCGCCGATTTCTTCTTCGCCTCCTCGAGTTGCGCCTCGATCTTCTTCTCGATGTGGGACTCGCGCTTCTCGAGCGTGTCGAGCTGCTCGCGTAGCTTCCGGATCGTCTCGGCCGTCTCCGCGGGGCCTGTCTTGACCGGGGCCGCGGCCTTGCGCCCAAAGAAGTTCATGCTGCTGCTCGAAGGGAAATAAAATAAATATATTTGGGAGAACACGCCAGCGCCGTACACACATTCTCGCTCAAGCGCACTTAGTCGGACGAACCTACATTCTGCGCCGAATTTCTAAAAATTTGCTATTTGACGCTTAAAGGATCGGAAAGGTCCTCCTCACTGCAGGAGCTTCGTGTCGAAGACGAGACGTATCTGCTTGAGGCTTGCTGCGGACGTGTGCTTTGTCTGGTCATTCGCTCCAAAATAGACGTTTGAAACGTGGTGTTTGCTCTGAAAATGTGAGATTCGATCCCGGCTTTCGATATTTCATTCCCGTACACGGACAACGATACACGTCCATCGTAGCACTGCCGTGTTGTGGGAACCAACGCGGAGTTAACTCAGAGCGTGCATCCCAAGGAAGCGACAACACCGGCGCGGCTCGGCGATGTTTTGTTGTACCCTGAAATAGTGTGAAGCCACCATTCATGTACGGCGGCCACGTGGGCAATGTACGGTGTACGGTCGTACTGTACGTACATTTCAGTACTGCGCAGGGTGACGCAATGATGGCGTGTGCAGTTGGCACAAGATGGGGAACGAGTCGAGCCGGCCCGCTGTGGACCCCGCGGTCCAGGCGCAGGCAGACGCCAAGACGATCCGCCGCATGGACAAGGTCATCCGCAAGAAGGTTCGAGGCGGCCTGACGTACAACATGAAGCTGCTCATCCGCGGCGAGCGGGGCACGGGCAAGACGTCGCTCATGGCGCGCCTGCAAGGCCAGCCGATTCCGCCGACGCACGAGCCGACGCGCGAGATCCAGACGGCGTCGATCCAATGGACGATGCAGACGCACGAAGACACGGTGAAATGCGAGCTCTGGGACGTCGTCGACGTCGGGATTCCGTCCGAGGACCCGATCGAAGCGCCGTCGCCGGACGCCGTTGGCCGCCACCCCGTGGCCCTTGTCGACGCGCAGGCCGTCGACGTCTACCAGAATGCGCACTGTGTCATCTTCCTCATGGACATCACCAAGTACTCGACGCTCGAATATGTGCGCACTCAGCTCGACCATGTGCCCGTGCATATTCCAACGCTCGTGCTTGGGACCTTTCGCGATCTCCGGAAAGACGACGTGGCGCTCAAGCGCGCAATCTTCAAGGACGACGTCCAGACGCTGCTGTACGGCAGCCACAAAGACCACAAGCTGCCCGGCTTTCGGCGCCCGTCCGAGATGCACTACTTTGAAGCCTCGCTCTCCAACTGCTATGGCTTGAAGGCGCTGCATACATACCTTGGCGTCCCGTTCCTGCACCTCAAGGTCGCTACTGTCAAGCAGCAGCTGCGGCTTCTCGAGACGGAGCTTGCGAGCACGAAGGCCCAAGTCGATGTCTCGATCGCCGGCCAAAAGTACAGCGACTTTGTCGCCAACTTGGCGGGCGCGGACGTCAAGACTGGCCGCCGTGTCGCAGCACCCGTTGCCGCCGCGGCGTCCGAGCCGCTTAAAGACGACGAGCTCGAGGATCTGCCCGAACGCGATGGCGGTGCCGACGGTGCGGCGAGCCCGGTGCCACTCCGGATGGTGCACAAGGCTCCGACACCGACACCGACGCCAGCACCCGTCGCCGTTGTCGCTGCACCGGTGGCCAAAGCACCGGCCAAGGCAACGACCACCAAGGCCGACGCGCCGCGCACGTCGTGGAGCAAGAACGAGACGCTAGAAGACTTTACCGTCAAGACGGACATGGACAAGTTTTACTCGTCGGACGACGACAGCGGCGACGGCACCGATGAAGTAGGCGACTCCCTTCGCTAAGGAAACCATCTCGAACGGCGTTGCTTTGATAGGACGTTGTTGTGCCCACCAGCGTCGTGGCGCCCCGCGTCTTCCGCAAGCAAGACTTCATCTACAGCGACTCGGACGACGACGACACGGCCATGTACGCACGGCCCAAGACGTCGTCCGCAAAGACGTCCAAGAAGAAGAAGATGTCGGCGACCAAGAAACCCGCGTCGCCGCCGCCAAAAGCTAAACCTGCCAAAACGACAGCCGCTCCGCCAGGCTCCCCCGTGAAGCGCCCCGTGTCGCCCAAAGCGCCGGCACCCATCGTCGAGGCGCTACCAAAGCCAGAGGTCGTCGCTGTCGTGGCCGCAGCACCGTCGCCCAAGGCAGCGTCGCCGCCGGTTGCCGCGTCCGACTCGGACGACGACACACCGGTGCCCGTCAACGTCCCGGCGTACATTACACTACCGCGCCGCGCATCGGCCGAGAACGTTGCTGCCGACGCCGCGCACGACCGAGGGCGATGCAGATAGCATTGCTGTCGATTTGGACGACGGCCACCAACTCGATCGAGTTTTCCGATGACGACGACGACGACGACGATGGTAAGGCCCCTGGTCCCACAGTCGCCGACTTGCCGCCTGCTGTGCGTTCCACGGCCTCGAACGACGATTGCGACGTCAGTGTGCGGACGTCGGTGCAAGGGCATGCGTCAAGCAGCGATGGCGACGGCGCGGAATCCCGGCGCATCGATCTCTCCGACTCGGTGGACGAAGCACCGTTGCCATCCCAGCCGGTGGTGCTGGACGATTCGGAGCCGGAAGACAAGGCGCCGACACCGCATGCGATCCCACGGGGCGATGCGTCGGACGACGATGAGGACCTCGTGCCAAGTCGCCCGGTCGTCTTCACCGACTCGGAAGAAGACACTGCGCCGCTGCCGACACGACCAGTGGTTTTGAGCGACAGCGATGACGATGCCGACGTTGCCGCACCGATGCCGAGTCTGCCCGTCCCAGCAATGGTTTCCAGAAATTTCGACGACAAGCGGTCGATGGTAGCAGACGTCGGTTCCGACGACGAAGCCCCGTTGCCGTCACGGCCGATTGTTTTGGACGAGGATTTGGACGACGACGCGCCGTTGCCGTCACAGCCGGTTGTCTTGGACGCCGATTCGGACGACGAGCCGAGACCGACATCCGGGTCGTTGGGCCTACCGTCGCTGCCCATTGTGAACGTGATCACGTCGCAGCCGTCGCCAGTGGTCCTCGCCAAGCCCGTGGTGAAGAAGACGCCGACGGCACGGAAAGCCAAGATGGTCGTCGCGATGAGTGACGACGACGACTCGGATGCGCATCCCGTGTCGGCGCCGGTGGTACCTCCTGCCCGCCGCCGCAAGGTGTCGAGCAGCGACGATGATACCGGCGACTTCAAGGTCGAGAAGAGCAGCACGACGAGCTTCTGGGATGCCAAGGACGACGATGACGACGAAGAGACGAAGGAGATTGTCTACACGCGGGCACCTCGCAAGGCGCGGGCAGCCATGCCAGCGCTGCCAGCCGCCTTCTCGGTAACGTCAGCGCCGGCGCCCGTCCAGATGAACAGCAGCGTTTTGGCGGCGATCGAGGAAGCCAAGCGCGCAGCACTCGCCATGCTAGCCGAACCGTCGCCGTCGGTCGCCGACGCGCCAGTGTCATTTGCGGCGCCGACCAAGCCGTCGCGGGTCAAGACCAAGAAGTCGGAAAAGCCCAAGAAGGAGAAGAAGCCCAAGAAAGCCAAGAAACCCATGACCGTGCTCGATAGCGACTAACTTTTGTCTAATTATAGTCGTGGAAAGGCCGCCATGTTGCCCTTTTGAGTTTGCACTTCCGAACCAGATTCGAATTCGGATGCTGCACGTCGTGCTTGCACTGCTAAGTCTTCTTCAGGGCGTCCACGCCACGTGCTGCGCCACGTGCTTGGCGCAGCCTCTCGTCGCGGCCGTCGACGCGGTCAACTGGACTGCCTGCTCGGCGGCGCAGCAGGTCTGCTGCTTTGACTGCGCGCCGTCGGATTTTGGGACGCCGACGTACGTGACGACCGCCGTGACGTTCGAGAGCGACGGCGCGCGCGTGCCCAGCGGCGAGTACCTCCAGCTCTCGTGGCCCGGCGCGGTCGCCGTCAAGTACCTCATGCTGCGGAAGGGCCAGCCCAAGACGGCGCAGGTGACCAACACGAGCAGCGCAGCGACGTTCGCGACGGGCTACTTTGGCCTGTGTCCGCTCTTCGAAGGCAGCATCTACCTCCGCGCCTTCGACGCCTCGGGCTGCTCGGCCTCGCTCGAGATGGCCGTGACCGTACGACCCTTCTTCGTAACCACGCGCCCATGGCCGTCGAGTAGGTGACGCCAGGCAGTGGCTCGTGCGCGAATGCGATCCCGACTGCGCCCCCGACGGTGACAAGCGTCCCGTGCGACCCCGTTCGCGGCGCCGTCACAAGTAAGCAACTCTCCCGTTAGCAGGGTCTGGAGCTCGACTAGACGGCACGTGCAGCTGCCTCCAAGACTTCACGGGCCCGCCCGCATGCCTCGAGAACTCACCGTGGAAGCAATGGGGCCAGATCCTCACCTACTGCGCCGGCGGGGTATGTGCGATTGCGACGGCGTCGACTCAACGCAGTGTAGGCGTCGTTCATCACGGCCGTTTTCGGCTTTTACCGCCTCTGGAAACAGCGGCAGTTGCACCAGCACGAGGCCGCCGTCATGGACCAGTCGCCGGCGAGCAGCGACGCGTCGCCACTGGACAAGGCCAAGGAGCAGCATCGGTCGATCGAGACGCCGCTGTGCGGGCCGACGCTGCTCCCGTTGCAGAGCAAGACGGTGCGCGACGACAGCAGGGCGAGCAGCGACGGCTCGTCCATCTCGGAGATCTACGTGGCCGGCGACTTGCGGTTCCACCGCGGGATGGACAGCCCCGAGCGCAACTCGCGCGAGTTCTCCTTGTAGCCGAGTAGCTGAGTGTGGTTGAGCAAAAGAGACAGCAAACTAATAGGAGTGTATTTAACCGAGCGTGATGCCGAAGCCAAACTTGTGGGCGTCGCCGTCAAAGTTCTTGGCGTCGATCTGGGCCGACGTCGTGAGCGAGACGTACGGGCGGAGCTTGTTGATCGAGGCGATCGAGACAAAGCCCTCCGAGTTGATCTTGGCGAGGTACGTCGTCTCGGCGTTGGCCTTGTAGCGGCCGCCGACCGTAAGCGTGTTGCCGGCCGTCTTCGAGTCGTGGTCAAAGACCGCCGAGTAGATGACGTCCTTGTTCACGGCGTGCGAGAACGAGGCCGTGAGGTTCTTGCAGAGCTTCTTGGCAAGGAGCGTGGCCTCAAAGTCGGCGACCTTGTAGCCAATGGCGCCACCATAGTCCGAGATCGCGCTCTTCTCGAGCGAGAAGCCCGTGTTGGCACCAAGGACAAAGTTCTCGTAGTGGAAGACACCAGCGTTCGAGACGTTGCTGCCGGCAAAGTCGAGCGTCGAGTGGATCGAAAAGTTGTCCTGGACGTACTTGGCCTCGACCGAGCCGACCTGGCGCGCCGAGCCCTTGTTGGCGCCGTCCTCGAGCTTGAAGCCGAGCTTGAGGTTGTCGACGAGCGCGTTGGCGATCTCGGCCTCGCCGATGAGGCGGCCCTGCGTCGTGACCTGGAGCTTGGTGAAGTTGATGCCGCTCGAGTGGTTGAAGCTCGCGCCGAGCTTGGCGAGGATCGTCTTGTTGGCGGCGAGCGCACCCTCGGTCGTGAAGGTCACGCCGTTGGTCGTCTTGGTCTTGACCTTGAGCTTGCGGTTGAAGTCGTAGTCGTCGTTGAGGGTGTCGGCGGCCTTCTTGCCAATGTCCTTGAAGAGCAGGGCGGGCATGGTATTGCGAGAGGAGGGGGTGCGGGGCGCGGGGCGAATTGGCAACTGACGCCTGGGCCACAGGCCGAGCAAAAAAAAGGCAAAATCGAATCTTGACTGGCGGCCAATCATAGCATCGAAGAAATCTTTTTGACCAATCACAACGCGTAACGTCACGACGCGAATCTGGTTAATCGCGGGGTAGGGCAACGTCGGATTGGCGAAGATATCCGCGCCTCTCCGCGTCGCCTCCGCCCGCGTGATGATGTCAAGTGCAACGCGTGAGCCATCTGCTGCGCCACCTTGAAGCTGCGCAATTGACTGCAGAAAAGGGGCGAAGTGGATCGACAGCGTCCCCGGATTTCTCCCTTGCGCGCACGTGGCAGCGCCAAACGATCCGCTCTCTCCTCGCGCATCGTCGGCCAGCATCTCCGCAGTCTACGGCACGCACCCGAGATGCATCCATGTCCTTCGTCATCTTCTTCTTGTGGTTGCGGCCACGCGCACGGATGTGCGGTGAACACGAAGGATGCGGCGGGAAGCGATGTCGACGCCGACGAACTCTGCCGGCGCCGACTGGACGGAGGCGCAGAGGATGTGCCAGATCGCAACGGACGCATTGCCGCCTGAACGGTAATACCAAGGCACACGAGGGGATAGGCCATGTCATCCGTGCACGGGCTGGTGATTCGTTCCGTCCAAAGATCCGTCGCTCTGTGGACGTATGCAGCTTTCGACCGCGGATGCTGCATGGCGATCGCGGCTCGTGCTTCCTCATCCGGTCGCAAGAGCGGGCTCGGTGCGTCGGCTGCAAGATGCGGATCGTCGTAATCTCCACATGGAGGCTTGATACGCGCTGCTGCTTTACCGCCCTTCGACAGCCGCTTCCGAGTTGGTCGCCCGAGCGATCCATCGCGCCACCGACGCCGTAGGTACAACGATGCATTTGAATCGACAAATGTGGATGCTCGAAGTTCTTAACTCTATTTCGTGTCCTTGGTCGGCTTGTCCCACGACGAGAAGCGCGTCGTCATGTTCCAGAAGTAGCGCGTGCCGCGGACGTCGAGGGCGCTGCGCCAGTTGCCGTAGCGCTGGCCGATGAGGTCGAACTCGTCGTCGTCGTAGCTCATGTTGCTCGGGTTGGCCAGCGGCGGGCCCCATGGCAGGTCGCCCGTCTCGAGCACGTCCAGCGGCAGCTACGCGACAAGAAGACGTAAGAAGAGATCGTCGGGCAGAGAGCTAGTACCTTGTGCATCGTCTTGAGCTCGCGTTGGACGTACGCCGTGAGAAGGGCAGTCTGGCTCGGCTTGGCCGACGGCTCGACGTTGAGCACGTGCTTGGAGATGGCTTCGCTCAGCGAACGCTTGGCGCCGTTCGCGGCAAAGTACTGGTCGTACGCGACACACTGGTTGAAGCTGCGCTGCTGGACTTCATGCAGATGCTTGTTGACCGTGAGCTCCGAGACGTTTTGGTTGCGGATCCGGACCGTCGTGTCTTCCCAGAGCCGGTCAAAGAGCGCTTCTTGGAGGAGCTTGCCAGGGTCGATCTTCTCCTTGGGCGTGTTGGGCGTCTTGGATGCAATGAGCCGGCGGTGCACGATCCACACATGCAGGATCAAGAGTGCTTGCTGCGACCGAAAGTCCGGCGGCAAGTCGAGCGCGCGATAGAAGCTCGGGTGCGCGGCCTGGTTCACGCAGCTGTTGAAGAGCAGCGCCGACTTGGTCGTCATCGTGGCCTCTTCGTTAAAGTACCCGAGGAGCTCGAGGAGCCACTTCCAGCGCTCCATGCGCGCCTTGTGCTTGGGCTCCGTCACGTCAAAGTTGGTGCTGAAGAGACCCGTGTACGGCGCCGGTGGTGGGATCTGCGTCTTGGCCTCGAAGGCGCCGCTGGCGGCGGCCGACGACGCGGCGCGGAAGACCACGTCCTTCTTGACGCGGCAGGCATGGCGGCCCAGCGTACGCAAGGTCAGGCTCATGGCGATGAATTTACTCGTCCACCGATTTCGGCCGACGCCACTTGGTGCACCGGGGCACGTGGCCAGGCGACGCCAAGAACCGACCGTGCCCCGGGGTGCAGTCGCTTGCGGGCTTGTGATTGGTCAATGTGACGATTTGCGATCTTCCAACGGGCGCAACAGCAAAGCAGGAGGACCGGAGCGCGGTCGTTGACGCAACCACTAGCACCACGCATTGATCTCGGAGCGTACTGTAAAGTAATTGACGTGGACAGACGTGAACCCAGCTATGTGTAACGAAGAAGAACGCTACATGACGTCGACGTCTGCAAGAAGCTCGGCACCTCTTCGTGCAATGGTGCCGTCATCGGAACTGCCATCGGAAGCCGTTGAAAGGGGCGTGGCACACGCACAGAGGGCAATTCGTCAGCTGGCGCCACGCAGACGCGATGTAGAGCCTATCAATGGGTGTACGAATAGCTCAGATACGACGGTGTATGACACCGTCGTATTTGAGCTAACCCGCGCACCAAGCTTACGTGGCAGCCGCGCTCCGTGCGATGAGTTCGGTACCGAAGAGGTCCACTGGCCCATGACGCGGGCCAGTCACGCGCTTTGGTGCGGTGATTTTGTTAGGCCGTGTTCGGTTTTCATTTTTTGGTGGATCCAGGTGGTGGATTGAGGCAAAAGTGGATCGGCCAGGATTCACTTTTCCTGGTACCGGTAATACTTACTACAATTGTAGTACCTGGACATAGTACAGCGTGACCTACTCCATGATCGCGGTGATCGTGTCATCTACATGTATGACACTTTCCGCATGAACAGTTCAAACCTCGATGCTTCAGACAAGATGGCGACACCATATCTACGGGGGCGTGTAAACTCACGCGACATGGTATGCGTCGTTGTGCATTGGCTGGTGACTGGGGCCTCGGTGCGTGCTCAGGAGCAGTTCTTTCTCGACAAAGGGTTTTCGACCCTGCACCACTACCGCACCATTCGACTCGTCGCTATCCTGCGCGGCCTCACAGCCAACGGGATCTACGGAGAGGACATCAACGACCCCAAACGAATCGCCGCTTCCTGCGATGCATTTGCCGCTAAGGAGCCGTCGCTTGGCGCGTGCATTGGGGCAATCGATGGCTCCCACATTCCTGTTGTGGTACCTGCGCCTATGAGCGAGCGTTACCGCAATCGGTAGGTCGGTCCTATGCTCAGCGACGAAGACGAAGATGAGGTCGACTCAACGTCGCAGCCCGAGCCTGACGACGACCTTATGCGTGAGCTCGCTGAGTTATCCGAACCTGACGCGACGCGGGAAGAGAATCGCTGGCACGATAGCATTGCCCATGATATGTGGGTCTCCCACCTATTGTACCGCAGAGACGCAGAGTAAGAAGTTGCAAAGCAAATGTATTGCTTAGTTGCTGTCGGGAAATGTCTCGGGCGCCCCTGGTTCGGGCTCAAGATCGTGCTATACACGGGTACCAATTTCATGCTGTACACGCGCTGCATACAGCTCGACAAGGCGGCCTAAGGAGGTATTGATGCCCTTCAAGGCTTCGACAACCTCCTTCTTCATGCGTTTCGACGCAACATCCTCCTTCGTTTTCTTCCGCTTGTTCTTCGTGAGCTCGTGGAGGACCTTGGCGCGCTTCCGGGCTTGACTAAGCTGGTCGGATGGCTCGACGTCACTGGCTTCTTCGCTGGACTCCGAGCTGGCGTCTCCGCCATCGTCACCTTCGAGGCCCGACGAGTCTGGATCAGCAGCGCCGAGTACGTCTTCGCGCGTGCCGAGTTCGTCGCCCGTCGCCATCGTATCGCCAAGTGCTACGGCCATCGCATCATAGTGGTGGAACGGCTCGTTGCGAAAGCGCGACAGTTTGTTCGGACCTATCGAGATGTACATATTGCAACAATATATATCGTGAATATGTCGTACGGCCTTTGTCGAGCTCCGCCCACTTCGCGTCGTCGAAGCCAGCTTCGTAGCCCGCCAAGTTGATGAGAAAGTGGTAGTCGGTGTAGTCGGTCTTGAGCCTCTTCCATTTGGTCACACACTGCTGAGCCGTCGCGATCGTGGCCTCCTTCGGCGTCAGGTCCTTGACGACGATCGCCCAGCCTGTCGCCTTCAGGTTCTTACCACCCGCCACGAGATACTGTGGGCTCTTGGCGATCTTGCAGAAGGCCTCGACCAAGGCAACCTCGAGCGCACGCGTCCAGTTCGCGGGCACGACCATGTTCCCGCCGACAATTCAAGTATTTTTTATTCGATTAAATTAAAATTGACGGCCGATCCGACCGTCAAGCCGTCGATCCAACCAATCGTGTTCGTGGATTCGTCAATGTTAACCGGATGTAGATCCTGGGTGCGGATTCAAACGGGATTCTTTACGCTGGATGCAGACGGTCGTCGTCTTGTCGCCCGATCTCGTCGAGCTCGTCGCGCTCTTCCTCTCGGACGACCTACCGGCCTTCGTCGCTGCACTCGCGCCGTGGGGCCGCACGCCGGCGCTGGACGCGTTCGTGCGCCTGCAGCACTGCGCAGACGTGACTGTGGCCTGGCCGCGTGTCACGATCCATCACGCGCTCGCCATCGCGACAAGCGACGCACTGCGTGGGGCCCTGTCCTTGCGCCCAGCGATCGAGGTCGTCATGCCTCGTGACGGCGACCTGGCGCTCGTGGTCGCCCCTTATGCGCGCTGCATCACTCGCGTCCGGTTCCCGCGCCTGCACCCAATGACCACTATGGACGGCTACGCCATGCGCAATGCACTGCTCGCGCTGCCACGGCTGCGCTCTCTGGAGCTTGCGCCACAGCAGTTTGCACCGTCGGACACGTACTTGGATGCGCTTCTCGAAACGCTGGAACACGACCATCTCACGTCGTTGCAGCTCCACGTTGACATGCCGCGCGGCGAAGTCTTTCTGGACAGGCGATTCGCCATCAACCTCGTGCGTTGGCTGCAGCGCCCAAGTCGCCGTTGTCTCTCGCTGCGCTCGGTGCGAGTCCGACTCGACGATGATCCCATGCTCTTGCAAACGCTTCGAGAGGCGATCCAGTCGCACCCGCGACTCTCGGCGCAGCTGGTGCACGTCGACATCTTTGACGAGTATGTGCTTCATGGCGAGCAGCTGCCACAAGTCTTTCAAGCGCAGCGCTGGGCGAGCTCCCTTGTTGCGTCGCTGGAGCCACGCCCGATAGACCGCATGGCACGCGCGATCGCCAAGCCGATGGGTGACGCGCCGGCGTGCGGCTACCTCGTCGAAGCCGTCGACGCACCAGCCCGGCCCACGTTCCTTGTGACGAGCCACGGCACGCTCCAGGACATGTCAAGCCGCCTTACGCAGATGCTACCGACGCTGCCATGGCTTCGTCTCTTACTCCTGCACAAATCGACTGGCGACGACATTGCTCGGTTGGTCGACGTCTTGCCGAGGTGCCAGCGACTGAGCCATCTCGTGCTCTCAGGACCCGGTCTCACGCCGACAGTGGTCGCGGCCCTCCTGCGACGGCTGCCGCAGTGTCCTTCAACCCGATGGCTCGGCCTTCAGAACCCTACCTGCTCGAGTCGCGAGCTCATGGCAATGGACGGCTGGCGGCACTGTTTACGCCGCCTTGAGCACATGGAGCTGTCGTCGAGCCAGTGGAGCTTCCGAGACAAGGCGGCCGTGCTAAACGACGCGCAGCGCCACATGAAGGCGGCAACCGTCGTGATCCACGTATCGCCGCCTTCGAGTCGCTGGGGACTCGACCGACTCTTCCCATAGCTGTCGTGGGCTATGTTGCTGTACTATGTGGTAGCGATTTGGCTCGTTGTTGGTTGTTGAAACATGGAGTGCCCGTAAGACATGATGGTACTCGCATCGTAAAAAACTTAAATGGATTCATGGATCGTAGGGAAGGAGGTCCTTTAAGAGAGCCACCTGAACGTCGCGCGGTGCCTGGAGAAAGGCCAGACGTCGGAGGTCGTTGCGTCGCAGCGTGTAAACTGCGTCAGCATACGCGTACAGACGCGGGACGAGGACGGACGACCAGAGGTCCTGGCGTCGCTGGCAAAGGCATGCTGTTGCGGCCGAGGACGAGAGCGGATAGGCCTCCAGTTGAATGCGCGTCACAAGGATCGATGTCTGGTCGCTGTGCAGGCACTGGACCATGTCGCCTTGACGGACTTGGAGCATCTTCATGTACACCGCCATCTGAATGCAGTCGTACAAGGGCACGGGGTCTCGGAACCGATGCATCCTACTGGCGTGGTCAAGACGACGCTAGTTGCTTTTAGGAGACGATCATACCGGTTCTTGACCTCGACAACGATCGGCTCGGTGCTCCACTCGTCGTTCTCGGCAATGTGCAGTACCTCGGTCGTGCCGTCGACCATGCCGCAGAGGCTAAAGTAATGCGCTTTCGTTGAGAGGTCTCGGTCCGTATCGTCAATGTCGTCGTCTTTGTCGTCGATCGCCTCGGTGGGGTTGAGATTCAGATTCAAGTCGACGGCTTTTGGTCGCTGCATCTTCCTTTTCGAGATCGCGAGTCGCTCGATGCAGCCTTCGAGGGCTTCGGCGCGGGCGCAGGCGCAGTCGGCGTCGACCAGCACCGACACTTGGTCCAAGTCTGGCAGCAGGACGTAATAGAACGTGTCGTTGGAGGCCGAGACCGTGAGCCTGGATGATTCAAACCATTTAGCAGCTGTCAGTGCAGATGAGAATCCGCCTACCCCGTGCGCGCTTCGTATGTCTACATGGCATTGAGCACCTCCGCTGTGGGACTAGAATGGGCCATACCGCAAGGGCGATGCTTTCGTTGCGCTTGCCGACGTTGACGCGAAGCTTCTCGTGAAGCCCGTTCCGCAGCGCCTTGGCTTCAATGGCGCTGAGCTTCTGCGCTTGCTGAGCGCACGCTGCAATGGCTCCGATATTAGCAGCAAGGTTGTTGGCCGTCGTGATGTTGGCCGTCGACGTCTTGGTCGCCCAGCCCAGGATCTTGGCAAGCGCCGCGGCGGCTCCCGACCTGCGCATGAGGTCGTCGAGCTCATCGTCCTTGGACACGAGCTGCAAGCCAAGGACGCGCGCGTCCAGCGCTAGAAGCGGCTCGAGGTCTTGGTAGACGTACTATATGACAATGCGATGGAAGCCATACAACAGGAGGACGCTGCCGACCTCGAGGAAGATCTCGACAGCATCGCCAAATTCGTGCAGGCCCACGACGTTGGCAACGCGAGACGCCGAGAGACGAAGCTTGGTCGACGCGATGGCGGGCGCGAGCGCTGCGTACTCTTCGCCTGTGACCATGGTCCCTGGCAGGCTCGTGGCTATGGTCGTTGCTGCCGGGCTGGCCATCGTCTGCTGCTGGGATTTTCCTCCTGCATCCGGATTGGCCGGAACCACGACCCAACGCTGCGTGATTGGTGCACTGTAGAAAAGTTGCGTGCGATGAGCCAGCTTCAGCAGCTTGCGTGGAATGGCCTGCGCATCGGCGCCGGCGCCTACTGCCTCAAGACGTACGTCGGCGATGTCATCCTCGGCCTCGGGCCGTCCATGACGCCGACGATACCGGATGGCACCGTCTTGCTCGTAGACCGCCTCTCTCTGCGCTGGAGGCCCGTAGCTGCCGGCGACGTCGTCCTCGCCTACTCGCCCGTCAAGGCCGACGCCTCCATGTGCAAGCGTGTCATCGCCATGGTATGCTTCGCAGCATGCTATCGCTAGTAGTTTCGATCGTGCCATGATAAAGCACGTAGGAAGGCCAAGTCGTCAAGCGCCGGCCCATCGGCGACGCCACCGAGCCCGACACGATCACAGTACGCCCGATCCTTGTCGCTTTCAGCGCTAACCGTCGAATGCATAGATTCCGCCGGGGCATGTGTGGGTCGAAGGCGACAACTCGGGCATGTCGGTTGACTCGCGCCACTTTGGGCCCATCCCGCTCGCTCTCGTCTTTGGCCGCGTCGCGTTCACGGTACCAACCCGCCTTGGACTGCACTCCATCTCACTTGACTTTGTAGCTCTGGCCCAGCTGCGCCCGTGTGCGCTAAGCAGCCTTGTTGAACGAAGATGACCGATGTGCAGCATCGATATCTGATTTTTTTCAAGCTACCTTTTCGGACCATGTCAAACGTCGCCGAGCGGCCACGTACCATAGGTGATGCAAAGTGCTTCCGACTCTCACAGCCCATGTACTCGTGGATGCACCGGGGCTCGAACACATCGACTTAGCCTTTCCCAACGAGGTACACGACATGCACGTTGACGCTGCTTGCCTAAATCTGCTCTCCGCCGGCTCGCTCGGCATCACTCCAGTGTCTGGTTTCGTGTCGACCCGTCAACACCGCAGTTGAAGGCTTTTTTGCGTTGCAGAGTCGCTCAACGATGGCAGTACACGCATCCTCATTCAACCGTGTTCAAGTGGTCAATTGCATCGGCTGCGGCGACGTGAACGGTCATCGACGCACCCATCGTGTCAATCGGTCCCGCGGCCGACACTCGAAACTGGCCTGTCTGTAAGAACGCCACCTGGAGGACATGCACGTGGATCGCGTCAAGCACGGTGTACTCCAGCGCGCCTGCCAGCAAGCACGTCGCGGCCGATACTGGTTCGTTTGTCATGGCATCTGCCACGGTGATTCTCACGACCCGCTCGGGATTCGCACCGCTTTCGACCGAGGTTGCGACGCGAACCTCGTAAAAGGCTCCGATTTCCATGCACCACCTGCGTCCGTGGTCAGCGCAATGGACGCGGGCGCCTCGGGCACCGGTGGTCGCTCGGGCACCAGCAGCGTGCCGCTGGCGCTCCCCTCGGTCGTTTCCCACGGCAGATGTTGGCACTCGGGGGACGGCAAAGCCACGTTC